TCCCCTCTCCTAAGCTACGAGGGGGAGCCAGGTTGGGGCAAGGCAAAACGTGGAGAGGATGTAGGAAAGGAGGTGGTGGATAAAAGTGGAAAGCGCGAAATGTATGTCGGCCTTTAAGGCTGGTTGTGTTCGACAGCAACCAAGTGTGTTGTGCAGCCTCATAGAGCCTTACAATGGGAGATCATGCTGGAATGCTGGCACCATGCATCCATGAGGTAACGGCCTGAAACTGCATTTCATTAGTGTGATGGTTGTGCAGTACACTTGCGAGATCAAAAATGTACGTGCTATCTACGAGAAATTGTTAAACATTGTCAAAAGCTTTTCAAGCTGATGGTAAAAGAAGGTTGCACAAAAAAAGATGAAAAATGTATATCCCCAATGGTAAGTGTTCCTGATAGAAGCCAGTGGTGTTCTCTCGTCATGCGCGGGCATAAACCCCTAGGGTAAACAGAATTCCCGCAAACAAGAACCACAACAAAGAAAGCTATTCATAGAGTCGCTTCTCAACTATGTGAAGTCGGTGAACCTGACACAACACGCATCATCTCATCCCACCGTTCATCTTCTTCCCTCACCAGATAAGACATGACTCCAGTCAAGCTACCCTGGTTTTCCTTTCCTCTTCATAAAGTGGATTCTACTACTAGCACTACTAGGCGAGCACAGGGCTGCACAACGCATAGGAAACCAAACACAACCAGCCTTTCGAATCCCCGCAGCGTGTCAATCGAGCAAACGCCCTAAAACCGACACGAACATTGTGCCAAATCGATTGAGCAGACCCGAGCCACACGTGCCTTCAGGGGGGTGTCTCCTTCACCCACTTCCTCGACCAACCCGGCCCCGTCCTTGCCCGGAATGTAGGGCAGCTGAAAGCTCGTGGGATAGGTGCCTTCCCGGATCAAGGTGTCGATTGGGTTCACGCCGGCCGCCTTCACGCGGACGAGCACCTGGGCGACAATCGGCGGCCAAGTGTGTCAACGACATTTTTTAACCCTGGAGAGTGGGGAAACAGAAGTTGTCTGCTCCTTGCGCAGGCATTGCAATGATGTCAGAACGCTGAGCTTTTATTGGCCGATTTAAAAAATAGTGGGCAGATCTCAAGGCATCTAACATTGAGGTCTACCCACTATCTTTTCAATCAAAGCCAAACAGAACTTGACGTCGTTGTGATGTCACCGCAACTCCTCCGCAAGAAGCAGACGATTCGCTCTCCGCACAGTCAAAAGTGGGGTTCCGTGTTTTTGGGGTTAATTTCTCATAGAATTTGGGGGCGTTTCCTCAAGGTTCATTTACTCCCCGGTGTTTTTCGGTGTCAAAATATGGCTTTGAACAAAAAGATGGCTGCTTATCGGGGGCTGAAGGGAACCAGACGAGCAGGCAAAACATGCATGACCCAAATATTGGCAAAACTTTCCGGTATCAGTTAGTGAAGGCAGTGGGACATTGGGCATGGCTCACCAGAAAGAACCGGCCTTACGGAAATTTTGGTGGTGGTGGTGGTGGGGCTGCGTTTTGTATCAGCATAAAACAAAGCTTCAGATAAATTTTTATTCCCATGAAACTTTGGTTTCTTTTATTATAGAACAGCTTCGATTCTGGGTTTTCCGCGGTGTTTCCCGAATCGCATAAAATGGGTTTGAGGGTTAACAAATTTCGAGGTCTATTGGTATTGACCAAAAACACGGTGCCCTAGTTATAATGCAGGTAGTTGCATTCCAAATCCAGATGTCTGATTTAGCTTTAAGAGCATCACTGTAAACGCACAGTAGGTGTAGTGAAAATTTTCCTATTCCGTGGCACGTGATGGTCCAGCTGTGGAGTAAGAGCAGCATCAACTGTCATTTTATGTCGGAGGCATCACTGATGTATAGACTGCTTCTTAATTAAAACGGATTTGTTTCAAAAATTTGCTGTGAAAGGTACACTAATGCAGACTGTGCAGGCGAGTTGTACGGCCAGGGGGACGTAGCGTAGTGGGCTAATCTTTCTGATAAGTCGGATAATTAACTAAAATTTGATAATCAACTCTTTAATTAGTGAAAATAAACTTACAGTTCCAATTAAAAACATGCCGAGCTTTAGAAAAAAAACACTAAATTAGCAGTGGTGTCCAGTTCTCCTTTTGTCCTCGTCAGTCGCGTATCAACTTGTTTTTGAGTGGGGGAATCAAACCAGACCCCCCAGGGCCGGTGCCCTTGGTATCCCTTGGGTGCCGCCGGCCACTGTTTGCCTGCCCAGTGGCAGCTGTATCAGGGGGGTGCAAAACACATGCCTTGGCCCCCCCCCCCCCCTCCCCTCCCGTTGTGTGACCATAGCCTTTGTCTTCAAGCGCTAGTCTAAGACCCTGTACATATATTGCTTAATTGGAGGAGGCGAGTTAATACAATTTATGGATATCCATTGCAGCTTCTTCAATTTCAACTGTTTCTCTCCAAAAAAACAAACAGACAGTTGTCGCTTGACAGAGTTTCTCCTCCCCACCAGACGCAAGATAAACTATTTTACATACTAGTGACCCGGAAAACAAGGTTTCCATAGGAGCAGGTCGGAGGTCCCATCAAGAATACACAAACTCATCTCTGTAACGTCAGGCCGCGGTGGTGGCGCGTCGGACGCACTTCCGGTCCGGGGCTGTGGGCGGAAGTGCCCATGTGAGACGTGTATTCCTGCGTTGTTTTGAAAGGAACCAGACAAAAACCTGCCTTCTCGTCAAAATGCTGCGACTGGGGCTGTACCAGAAGTGTCGAGAAAGTTTGAAGGTCAGTTTTCATGTGCTCGGTTCGTCCGAGAACGCGGATATGTGCCGTGAAAAGGGAAAACCACATGCTGTCAGACCACGATTGCTTGGGCAAGAAGCATTTTGGGTTGAATTCATGGATACTTCTGGTCATCAAATTTATTTGTTTTGTTCCAAAATGAGCGCCGGAACATTGTCAAGTTGTACGAACCACCTGCGGGCTACGTTCAGTGCGTCTTCAAGTTCAAACGGCCGCCTGATCGTTCGAACTGTCGTCTGCTCTTTCAAACGTTTCTGCTTGTCGTCTGCATTTTTAGAGGACACCGGCCCGTAGACCAAACGTGGGCCTGGTACTTGCAATAAGAAGTAAGTGCAGGCCTCAAAAGACTTAAGTTTGAAGGTTGGTAAGCAGGCTGGACGTAAACAGTAGATACAAGGAGTGATCATTGTTACCAGTGGCCATCACCGACTTGTTATGCCTGATTCACTTGGTTAAAATCTGCTTGCGATTTTCGGTATCGACGTCGACACCTCAGCTACGGTTCACGCTTTTGCAGTCCGAGCGACGTCGCTACTGAAAATTGCGAGCGAAATCTCATCATATGAATCAGGCCTTAACTACATTCTGCGGCGTCTACGCGGAATGAATCGCCACATGTCAGATGATTCATGCGAAGTTTTGCGGTGTAACGAGCCTCGGTAATTTCGCTGACGCCGCTCAAGTAGTCAGACATCGTTAGGAGGACGTAGAATCAACAATTTCAACGCCAAAAAGAGTGCGGGGACTCACACCAACGCCAACAACATCGCATTTCAACGGTTTGTTTATGGGCAACGGCGAGCTTCTTGCCCACACCCCCATCGCGCATGCGCGGCGCCGGTGGCGTCCGCTAGGGGCGCTCCGGTTTGTTTGTAAACATGAGTTGGTGTATAGGCACAAATAAGACAAGAGAAACAATGAACGAATATCCCTTCTGTTCAAACTCATCAAACCCGTGCCAAATCTATGTGTACGATTTAAAACATTAGGCAACGAGTACTGCAGCATCTGGAGGACGTAGCCCGTTCTCGCGCGAGGCGTTGACCTAATGTCAACACAACAGCCCGCATATGCAGGCACCCTTCGCTTTATGTGTCTGTTTGTTCAGAAATTAAATGCACTCTAACGCTGTCGACAGTGCAACAGTTGATTACCAACCCAGCTGACTCCAGAAAAAAAATAAAATATAATTGTCAAAGAAATAGCAAATATATATAACACGCACGAACCTTGGTCACATTAGGTCGAGACATATAATACTGCAGTGGATACCTTTGAAAGGAAACACGATAGGAAGGAGAAAAACATGATACTTCAACACTGGGCAGTGCCACGCCTTTCTTTCGATTCTCAAGCAGTGCAGCGATTACAGAGGACCAAGCAGAAGACGAACTCGGTCGTCTGCTTTCCAACGATCAATTGCGAAAAGAAGCGCACCTTCCCTGGAGTCACTTTCGGAATGGGCACATGGCATTCTTGGAGCACTTGAGGACCGCCGAATTTGTTCACCTGGATCGCTCGCATTACCGACATGCTTGCAGCTGCTCGGGTAGTAGCGTAGGTAGTAGGCAACGTTAGTAGTAGGCATCCAGTTGGTGTAACAATGCTGAGCAGAAACGAAACATCAACACGGACATACAGCTGAGCTAAAAAAATAACTATCAAAACAACCGCTCACCGCTCTTCAAAACTTCAAAAAATTGACGTTTGCGGTCTCTTGCGTGCGTTGCGAGAAGCTTGCACACGCAAAATCAAACAAAAAATAAAATTTAAATTTCGTAGTTTAAACGCACAAGAAGTATTTTAGTTCAAGATAAAATTTATAAGTGTTAGTTAGATATAAATAAAGCGTTTTCTTAATGTCTTTGGCTAACAATGTCACTCATTCTTTGAAATCCGAAGCCAAGGCAAGCTCAGCCTTTCGGCAAATTTCAACTGACGGATTGTCGGAAGCCGGTTGTTTTGAACGGTAATAATTTAGTTCCTTGAGCTTTCGTGCCCTGTTTTTTTTTTTACGTTGCCTATATAAACTACTGCTTTTGTATGTTGGCGGTCCAGTGACAAAGCGATCCATTATTCTTGTTTTGTACAACACAGCGAGAAACTTCTTTTTTTGAATATAAGTCGGTAAAATGGATAGCGTGAACCGTTGGCAATTTTCAGCGTTAAAGCAGTGTTCTGAGAACTTTTTTAATTATTTATTTATTGCGTTTTCAGATGGAACCAGCGGTTGAACGCGAGTTTAGAGGATTCAAGGGGCATGTCACGGACCTACACTTCAGTCCTGATGGCAAACAACTTGGTAAGTTCAGTAGCTACCAGCGAAGTGCGAACCGGCAGCTGGGCCTGTTCCCACATGCAGCGCGATGCTGAATCAGTGCTTTAACCTGCGCCGAATTCAGCGCTTATTTAGCACTATTTTCACCCCTCCCCGCTGATGCTTCCCCGCAACTGTGAGGTAACTTGCCGCAGCGAGATTAATTTCATGAGGTGCCATGCTGGCGATAGAAAGCGCTCTTGGCGCCGAGCCTAGCTCTGTCTGCTGTTGCAGTAAGATGACTTTGAAGAAAGGCCGAAATTACGGTATTGGGACAAGCTCGGTGATTTGACGGTGCCCTTTGCACTCACCACGTTGACCTCAAACGGAAATATCTCACCCAAAATCATAAGCAGCGACATATACTTTCAGCGTCTCAAGTACGAAACATGAGATGGCACCACCGAAACCACTTACCTCTGCGGTACCAGCACTGTACTGGCAAGTGCTGCATCATCGCCAAAGTTGAATTCGAGGTTAGACGCTTAAAGATGGCTACCTGTTTCAAACTATCTGCAGACTGCAATGTCGCTTGTCACCGAGTGGTGTCAGTTAAACCACCCGCTGAATTCTCTGTACATTGCTTATGAATGACGCCCATATATTTCCTGGCCACTTACGCTGAAAAGTGTCCCGTGCATACTGACTCTGGATTTTATGGTACATACAACCTTAAAATCGCGAGAGATAGCCCCCCTAACATCAAGAGCAAATCGGATGAAAATACGGAGTGGGCTAACTTTCAGTGTACAATCAAGAAAAGTTTTAAAAAATTGCTATTTTTAGGTCGTGTCCCTTCCAAGCTTGTTATGGTGGCGAGGGGCAACGAAGCAAAGGTGACGGCACTTCCCAGTCAGCAACGTTCGCTTATATCCTGCCATAGCTAACTAGCCGTATTTACGCTGAGGCCATCATTGATCCCAACAGTACTATTACCAAGAGTGGACTATTTTTCGGTGTTTAAGAAAATATAGAAAATCAAGCCAAAAATAGGGGTGGGCTATCTCTTGGGGGTGGGGCATCTCTCGGGATTTTACGGTAGTAGTGATAACACAGCAAAAAACTAAAGGATCTAGAGAACAAACAGGCAGAGTGCTCAATGAGAACCAATGCTTTTTTTTAGCAATAGTTTCATTTTCTGGTTGTGTCACTAACCTAAGTAAAAAAAGATTAAGTCCAGCTTGTTGCAGAGTGTTACTAGCTGTACCTTTGTGTGGGGAAGGGAGATACTTAAGAGGTTGTGTATTATTTATCAAAATGTATTTGCTTGAAATGCAAGAAGCATCTTTTATTTCCTTCTGACAACCAAGTTTGGTAAGAACTACTTCGCACAGTGTACGAACTAGGTGAAAAATTTGTTGTTTTCTCCAGGTGCCGCGCAGTATCGGTCAGGTTTCTAGTGTATTGCATTGAGACTGACTCAAAATACAGTTATTATGATCTGTGCGAGACTGTTCCAGTGTTTGTAGCACTAATAGACTTTTGGCTTTGACAGTGGCGAGCGGAGCCGACCACCACCTCATGCTGTGGCACCTCAAAGAAGAAAAGCGAGCACTCAAGTTGGAGGGCCACAAGGTAGAATTTCGAGGATACACTTTCGTTCCAACAGCAACGACGCCCCTTCTAAACGAACTTGGGCTGAGTCAGCCTGGTTGAATGGAGCCAGTCCTAACTTTCTCTTGCCTAATCATACCTCATTTTACCTCATTTGAGCCAGCCTAGGCTAAGCACAGTGCACTGACCAAGTCAATGCAGAGCACAAGTTTGTCTGCTTTTTTTGTAGGGGTTGTGCCGATGTCAGAATGCCAAGCACCGATTGGCTTTGATTGAAGGATAGTGGGTAGACCTCAAACAAGCTGCCTTGAGGTCTACCGTGCCACATGACTTCAAGCTCTGTGCGTCGCTCTGCCCAACTGAAACTTGCCGTGACACATTCTGAGCTACGGATGGTCTCCGGTTGCTCATAGTGTCCAATGCGGTACATCGTAATGTAAAACAAAGTATAGGGGTCTTTGGTTTGTCGTGTTTGTTCTACTGGTTGGGCATGCTCCATCTATCTCGTTATGAACCTAAAATTGCCATTTGTGAGCACTTATTCTTAACTTTGTTATGCTATGTTGTCAAGGTTATTGTAGTTTGTGCGGCTCTGTGAAAGCTATACTTGTGCAAGCGAAAGAGACGCGCGAGGAAGCCACATGCTCATGCAGCACTGTGGAAACCATGCTAGCCTTAACAATGTTGCACAAGGAAGTTGACGCCAGGTATAGTCCACACAAAGTGCTCGTAAAATCGGGGGAAAATTATGTTGAAAATAAAGCAGTGGTATAGCTGGATTGGGTGTACTGCATCTGTGTTCATCTCGCTAAAATACTCAAATTGAAATTTGTGATCACCTGTAATCAACTTTGCTATTGTACGTTGTCAAGGCTAGTGTAGTTTCTGCATTGCTTGCACGAGTGCAAGCAAACGACATGCAAGATGAAGCCACATGCTTATGTAACAGTCTGTTGCTGCAGCCACAGAAACTACACTAGCAGTCTTGACAACATAGCACAAAAAAGTTGACGCCGAGTATAGTCACACAAGTAGTGCTGGTGGAATTGGAGAAAATTTATGTTAAACATAGAATGATGGTGTAGTGGCACTTCACAGTCTCAGCAGGTTAGAATGTGACGCTCCTTCGACGTCTTCTTTCAGGACAGCGTGTTCGCGGTTCGGTTTGCGCCCTCCGGCCAGTGCCTGGCGTCTGCGTCACGTGACACGACCGTCCGCTTCTGGATCACAAACACGTGAGTTGCAGTTTGTTTGTGCGTCTTTGCGTCCGTCAAACATTGTGCTAGTGGCTTTGCCATTTTCTTTTTACAAGCTTTTTTTTTTTATATAGTCCAGCTGTACTTGGTGATGAACAAAGTTAGTTCCATTTAGTTAGATGCTCCTTTTTAAAGACTGTGTGCGATGCAGGCAAAAGTTCAGAAACCTTATGCACACATCGGTCTCCTATATCTTGATGCATCTCACGTCGTATACACACCAAGTCAACTCAGACATCATGCCACTGTGGTGGTGTTGTCAGCACTGCTCATGCACGGCTGCTTTGTCCTATACAAATTTAGTTTGTGCGCATGCGCAGTGCCCACACTATGTGTGGACAAATCCGGGCTTGTTTGTAAACAATGCGTTGGTTTATGACAGTATGCTAGAGAAGAAGCATAACGTTTCAGACATCACAATGTTAATAGCATGCTGGAAGTAGAGAACAAGTGTCTCAATTGTATCAGTCCTCACGTTATCCTCATTAAAATGAGGAGCATTAACTACCAGTCATGGGAAACCGTGGGGGGTCGGTGGGCTAGCGCACACCAGCTTCGAGCATGTGGAGCAAAAACTCGTGTTGCAGAACCCAGGGATCCTGGGTTCAATCCCTACCCCTGCCCGTTTCAATCTGGGTGAGCATCGTACCGGTGTGCGGTCGTGTATCACTACTGCGTGGTGCACGTTAAAGACCCCAGGCTAGCAGTTGTACTGCACTGGCTAAATTTCTCATCTACAGCTGGGAGATGAGTCGCCCGTTGAGGCAGACTAAGTTTTAGGCTATATAAACACACCCCAAATATGGGAAACCATAATCCAAACATTTTATTTGGTTTTGTTTTGTTTGACATACAATGAACCCGGAGATCTTGGAAGGTGACATACTGTAAAGTCGAAAAGTAAGAATGGTCGCTTGTAAGGTTTGAAAGCAGAAGGGTAACATGGTAGGTTGGGCCCTTGTGTCAAGCTTCGCTGCTTAAATTTGCATCGGTGCACATCCGTAAAGCTTCACCGCTTTGCTCTGGCACACGTGCATAAGGATTCACTGCTTTACACCAGCTTCTTGGAGGAATAGCTGATGCAGGAAAGCATTTCGGTTTCCTCTGTGGGTCCGGAAGTTTGCTGGGATGAGCGCTTGATATTTCCTTTGCCTATATTTTGAACATTTCAAAAGTAGGGGCGGGGGTGCTATTGTAACATGGGTGGATGCCCTGTATTGTACGCTACTATGCTGAAGTTTCGTCGACTGGTACCTAACTATTGGATACATATCACAGACCTGCACATTATGTGGTTTAGATAATATTCAACAGTAAAATCAGAATGTTGAATACATGTATGCCGATGGTGAAAGGATGTTGCCATAGCATTTTTTAGGCTCTGCTGCTTTCATTGTTGATTCTTGCATACAACTGAGAGTGGATTGGTGTGTATGTAGTTTGCTTTACTTTAGGCAGTTTATTTGACAATGTTGTGAAGTTTCTTTCCTTTAAGCAGTTTATTCAACAATATGTGTCAGGGAGTATAAAAACCTGATCATGTTGCACGCATTGTGTTTTATTTGTTTGGACAGCAGCAAATTTCACATGCCAAGTATGTGGACTTATCTGACTGTCACAAAGACATCGAGGGAAATTACTTTAAAATATTGATTAAGTACTTACCTGGTATTGGTGGCGCGGAACAATTTTACCTGGTTCATTCGGCTGTTTATGGAATAACGTCCTTGGAGGAGTTTTCTCGAAGCAAGTTGCCACAAAAACTTGGCGGAATTGAACTTGGGTCTGCTGTATGCAAAGCGGAGGTGTCACCACGGAGCTATGCCACCAGTGTTAACAACCCTCTCTATACTTAAGGTTTTTTTGTAGTACCCAATGCCCACTGCCTGCACTCTCTTGAAAAAATAAATAGCCGATAACAAAATGCCGTTGTAGCAATGTCAATGCCAAGGGCCAGAGCCGGGAAACGGGCTTTCACTAGTGATGCAAAACTATCGATAAATTGACTATCGATACTATCGATAGTTTTGGAAAAACTATCGATAGTGTCGCAGAACTATCGTTAGTCGACTACCGATAGTACTATCGATAGTTTTTCGATAGTCGACTATCGATAGTCGACCATCGATAGCTTTTCGATAGTCGACTATCGATAGTACTATCGATAGTTTTTCGATAGTCGACTATCGATAGTACTATCGATAGTTTTTAGATAGTCGACTATCGATAGTTTTTTTTACTACCGATAGTCAGATTTTTGGCGGCTATGGAGACTATCGATAGTACTATTGATAGTTTTGCACCACTACTAGAGCGAACACAGTTGCCACACCGCCACTCGCCTGACCTTCCTCCTCTTTTCACCCAAACTCCCGTCTTCGTCATCATTGAAAGCTGAACCAAAGTTGGGATAGTAAGTTCTTGGGCTAGTTGGTGTCCGATTTGAAAAAAAAAAAAGCAAGAAAAAGAAAAAAAGGGAGCGACGCAAACTGCTAGTGTCGGAAAACTATCGATAGTAAACTGTCGACAGTACTATCGATAGGTTTACGATTGTCGACTATCAATAGTTTTCCGATAGTCGATTAACAATATTTTTCCGATAGTCGACTATCGATAGTACTATCGATAGTTTTTTTGATAGTCGACTATCGATAGTCGACTATCGATACTACTATTGATAGTTTTCCGATAGTCGACTATCGATAGTACTATCGATAGTTTTTTTTACTATCGATAGTCGGATTTCTGGCGACTATCGATACTATCGATAGTACTATCGATAGTTTTGCACCACTAGCTTTCACGCGTTCCGGAACAAAAAGGAAACAAGTGTGTCGGGAACATAATGGATCATTTGTCTATTTTGTTCCGAACGCTTCTGTTCACGCACCCCACGGTGCATGAATGCGACTCCGACGTGGCTCATCACCGTGACCATACTTTGGATTAATGCAGAACTGCTCAATTGATCTTTTTTTTTTTTATAGTTAAGTCATTTTGGAGAACCTGGTGTGTACAGACGTCTGAAGATTGGATGGAGTACTTAGTAAAGATTCGTCGTCGTTCGCTTTATCGTCTGAAAGAAAAATGCGGCGGCACTCAAAGCTTGCAGGAAGAACTAAGCGACGGCTGACCTCTCACCGAGGGCTGGTACGCAAAGTTCTGCGCGGGTGTGACGAGCGCATCGACAGCACTTGTAATGCGGAGCGCAAGTACGTCTGCTTCTTTTGTGAGGGTTGTGTTGACGTCAGAATGCCGAGCTCCGATTGGCTCTGATTGAAAGACAGCGGGTGGACCCCAAGGCCGTTTACTCTAAGGTCTACCCACTATCCTTTGATCAGAGCCAGCCGGAGCTCGGCGTCCTGACGTTCCTGCAACCGCTGCAAAAGGAGCAGATGGATTTGCGCTGTGCATCGTTTGCGAGAGAACGCACTGGTATCATCTACTATGTAACACTTCCGACTTGCGTATAACAGACAGGGGGTTTTTGCAGCGTTTGCGGGATGAAATCTATGCATAATCTACGAGAGATGGTCTCTTGTCGTGTTGTCGGAATTATTGGAAGTGTTCCGGGGCCACCTGGTGGATGGTGCCAGTGCGTTTTCTCGTTGTAAGCGGTTACGAGGGAGTGTGCCATGCGCTAGAGCATGCTCAAAGGTAAATTTGTGAACCGACCTTAGTTTTTTCCCGACCATGTATAAAAAAGAAAGCCAACTTGTGTGACTTTTTTTTTTTAGAGCGCAGCTCTTAGGTGCTTGTTTCCGGCTTGAGCGGCTTCGCCGTCGGCAGGGATGGGCAGTATTTCAAATACAAGTATTTGAAATACGTATTTCAAATACTTTCTGTATTTTGCATTTGTATTTAATTACAAATTGGGTAATGTATTTGACGTGTGTATTTAAATACTAATACGTGGTTATTTCAAATACAATTGTAATTACATACAATTTTGTGGGTGAAAATACATGTTTTTATACATGTGGATGTAAGATATAAGGTCTGTTCGATTCGCCTGAACTGGCTGAACTAGTTCAGCAGTGCAGGAACTGGTGCATTCGATTCAACCAGAAGTTGCACGGCCGCTGCACCGGCGCGTTCGATTCATCCCAATTCTGAACGAGTTCGGACCCAGTTTCTCAAATTCTTGCACCGGCTCCGGAGTCAGTTCAACGTCGGTGCAGAAGCAGACGACAAGAGCAGACGGCGAAAGCAGACGACGCTCCTTGTCCGTCTCTGCTCGCGGTACCATTTTTCGCAGCCCTTGCTCAAATGTCTGCGATGTTTAACAATAACGCCGATACGGAGGTTGCATTTCCTTTCATTTATGATAATAACGTACCCGCGGTGAACTCGGAATTGAAATCATAACCGAGGGTAGGAATTTGCTTGATTATGATATTCTGAAAGCGTTTGAGGCACCTGCTTACGTAGGTCTGGCTCCCTGTAGTAAGTGTTAAAATATTGGCTCACGTAAATTTTTTTTTTTTTTTTACATATGCTATGTGGGGACCCACAGTGTTGATATTCTTCCTTACAAACACGGGGAAAGGTATTGCACTTTGATAGTACCTGCCCTTAGTTACTCTTCGATGCATACTGACCACTCCGATACATCGCAGAGGTCTGGGATTTAGTACATTGGCCCTCGCATGCCCCGTAGCTGAGCATAATACTGCATGCTTTGTCCGCTGGTATTTGTGGACGACCACTAACTGGCCTGGGGAAAGCGCCGAGAATCGGCATTGGCTTGGTAGTTCCACGCAGGTCATTCTTGGGAATCAGATAAATGGTTCAGCTTGACGCCAAAGTTACGGTTGATAACTGTCTTGGCCAAAACGCTCTCGTTGGGCCTTCGTCTTTGAGGTGGCCACTACAGACCGCGCACTGCTGCCAGCGATTCCCGACTCAAAATCATTCTGATGCCGCGAAACTATCGTCGAAATGTGAAACTCGAAAGACTTGGAATGAATCTACTATTG